ATAGATAGATAGATAGATAGATAGATAGATAGATAGATAGATAGATAGAATCTCATCTGCCATCATCAGGCTTCTATATTGTGTTCGTCAGACAGCTGTAAAAGTCAGACAGCTGTAAAAGTCTGACTCACAGACTAACACAATACAGAAGCCTGATGATGGCAGATGAGATTCTGCCGAAACGTTGCTACAACTTTAAAAGCACAACTATAATGACGTGGGAAAATACCCGAACAAAGCTGAATACCATATATATATACACACACAAACACACACACACACACACACATACACACTTTTAAAGATTAACAATAACCTGCAATTCAAAGGACATATTCTTTAATTGTGGAGATCTGTCTAAAAACACTACACTGTTAATTATTAAGCCAAACGTTTTAAAAATATATTTTTCTAAGGAAAAAAATTATTACTTCCAAAAGTAACAATATTTAATATTAAAGAAGCACCAAGGGATTTAACTTTATATCTCATGAGTGTATAAATTGAAATATAAATTGAATTATTTAATGAAAAAATAGTTCTTTCAATGGAAGCATAACTCTAACTCATTTATAAAATAAATTTACCAAAACATGAAACTCCATATTAAAATTTCAAAAAGATTCAATTTGTAACTTTATCAGTGAGCAGTGTTCTTTATTTTAAAAATTCCCAAGTTTGTCTAATATAATATTTTCACATCAAAATATTTCATTCCACAATCTAGTAAGATATATTTATATTCATTTTTTCAAAGAAAGAAACTTTTATCAAACCCAGTTTCAAAAGCAGCTTGGGATTTTATTAAAGTCTTTCAAACTAAAAGGGAAGGAGGTGGGGAAAGAGAAAGAGAAACATACCAGCAACATTCCCCCTTAAACATTATCTTGCTCCGTATCCCAAAACTCCTTTTTGAATTTGGGGAGCAACAGGCAGCTGAAAAACAAGCACTGAAAACAATTTCAGAGGCACACAAGTGTTAATGACTACATGCTTCTATGGTCTGCAAGAAGCAATACAGGAAAAATTCCCATGTCTATATGTAATCTAATTCTGCTTATAATTTCTTATAAACTATTTACAGTGCAACTGTCAGAAATATTCACTGTACATATTTTACCTTGATCAAAGAGGTGATCACAATTGCTCCAGCATTCACCATAGGATTATGAGGTTTGTCTGTGAAATAATAAAAAAAGGATCTAATCACAGAAATGTATCTTCAAATAAATGAAATAAACAAAGCTTCTACACAAATTAGTCATACTATTCATAGCTATCTTTCTCATAGTCAGCTGATGCCATGCATTCCATCTAATTAAGATGATGAATCCTGATATTTTCTTTCTTTGCTTTTTAATACTAACCTGCTTTTCAATATCACATGAACTTCTGCCTATTCTTTACATCATCCTTCAGTTTTATTCTATCATTTATATTACTATATATTCAATCCCAAAATGAAATAGCAACTATGATTGTGCATAACAATTAGTTGGACAATTTCAATCCAATTCAGGATTTGATAAATATTTCCAAATCATACATTTTTATCCTTTTAATTTTGTCATTTGGTTAAAATAAGAGAGATTGTTATTAAACTCAGGTCATGGTAAAGGTAACCTAAATCAGGGGTTCCCAACCCCTGGTCTGTGGACCGGCACTGGTCCACAGCATGCCAGAATCCAGACCACACAAACAAATGAAGCCCTGTCTGCGGGATGCAGTAGTACATGAAACCACACCCACTCCATTCCACAGAAAAGCCTCTCTCTGCAGAACCAGTCCCTGGTGCCCAAAAAGTTTGGGGTCACTAACCTAAATCATCTTCACATACTATCCCATATTTTACTAAGTTTTTTTTTTTTACTCCCGATACACATTTTCTTACAGATACACTTCAATTTAATAATGCTTCACCTTTAAACAAATAAATATCTGCATTTTTTTTCTCCATTACATTAGGCACTTCCATGTGATTATGCAAACACATATGGTCAGGACTCTATAGCCTCATTTAAAAGATGAAATCAGAGAGTCTGGCAATTCTGACCATCAAATTTCTATTAGCATGAGGACCCAGATTGTTGGGGGTTATATACTGACACCGTAAACTGCTTAGAGAGGGCTGTAAAGCACTGTAAAGTGGTATAGAAGTCTAAGTGCTATTGCTATTCAACATCTGAAATCAACAATGAAAATTTGCAGTTTGAAAACTCAATAGATTTTCTGATTTATCTTTTACACAAACTCAGTCCAAATAAGGTGGAATGGCTGTTGAATCAGAAGCCATCTATACTGTCTCTGGCTTTTGTAGAAGCTGTGCTCCCTCAGAAAGAGCAGATGATGGTCATGGCCAGGACTTTTGCATAACGTTGGCTGGTGTGCCAACTACACGGTACAAGATACCCCTACTAACTTTTGATTAGATTACTACAATATGCTCTTCATGAGTCTACCCTTGACAACCACCTGGAAATGGCAGCTCACCCAGAATGGAATGGGATGGGATGGGATGGGATGGGATGGGATGGGATAGAATAGAATAGAATAGAATAGAATAGAATAGAATAGAATAGAATAGAATAGAATAGAATAGAATAGAATAGAATAGAATAGAATTCTTTATTGGCCAAGCGTGATTGGACACACAAGGAATTTTTCTTGGTGCACATGGTCTCAGTGTACATAAAAGAAAAGATACATTGAGTCAAGAATCATAAGGTATAACACTTAATAATAGTCATAGGGTACAATAGGGTACATAGGGTACAATAAGCAATCAAATCATACTAGGAAACAGTCAATATAAATCGTAAGGATACAAACTACAAAGTTACAGTTATACAGTCACAAGTGGGAAGGGATAGGTGATAAGGAATGATGAGAAGATTAACAGTAATAGTAATACAGACTTTGTAAATAGTTGGGCAGTGTTGAGAGAATTATTTGTTTAGCAGGGTGATGGCATTCGGAAAAAAACTGTTCTTGTGTCTAGTTGTTCTGGTGAGCAGTGCTCTATAGTGTTGTTTTGAGGGTAGGAGTTGAAACAGTTTATGTTCAGGATGTGAGGAGTCTGTAGATATTTTCACAGTCCTCGTTTTTGACTCGTGCAGTATACAGGTCCTTGATTGAAGGCAGATTGGTAGTCATTGTTTTTTCTGCAGTCCTAATTACTCTCTGAATCTGTGTCTGTCTTGTTGGTTTGCAGAACCAAACCAGACAGTTATACAGGTACAGATGACTGACTCAATAATTCCTCTGTAGAATGCAGTGGCATGAACACTCACTTGTTAGTCATAGAACTGCCACATCAGAACTCTGCTGCAGGAACTGCACTGGTGACCAGTAGATTTCCAAATGTAATCCAAAGTGCTATCACTACTTATATACAGTCAAGATCAAGGGAAGTACTAATACCACTCTATAAAGCCTTAGTAAGACCACAGCTAGAGTACTGCATCCAGTTTTGGTCACCACATTATAAAAAAGATGTTGAGACTCTAGAAAAAGTACAGAGAAGAGCAACCAGGATGATTAGGGGACTGGAGGCTAAAACATACAACGAACGGTTGCAGAAACTGGGCTTGGCTAGTCTAGTAAAGAGAAGGACCAGGGGAGACATGATAGCGGTCTTCCAATATTTGAGGGGCTGTCACAGGGAGGAAGGGGTCAAGCTATTTTCTAAAGCGCCTGTAGGCCAGACAAGGAATAATGGATGGAAACTGAACAAGGAGAGTTTTAACCTGGAAATAAGGAGAAACTTTCTGACAGTGAGAACAATCAACCAATGGAACAGCTTGCCCTCGGAAGTTTTGGCAGCACCATCATTTGAGACTTTCAAGAAGAGATTGGACTGCCATTTGTCAGAAATGGTGTAGGGTCTCCCGCTTGGGTGGAGAGTTGGACTAGATGACCTACAAGGTCCCTTCCAACTCTGATTATCTGTATCTGTATATGTGGCTGAGGGTATCTTGGGAATTAATAGTTCTCCCAATTGTTTCTGCCTGTCTCTACCCAGTCAACTAGGGAATGTCTGCTGAGGAACAGTTAAGGTATAATGTGAAGGGGTTTTATTGTACCAATTAGTCATGATTCTGTATGCAAAAAACAGTTCCTATTGACCTAGAATACAATATCAAGTACAAAACTTACTGTTTTCTAGTTTTCCTATAAAAATGCTGGCAATCAGCAGTTAAGATGAGAGCACATACAAAATGGGTTCTAGGATGTTTGAAAAAAAATATCAAAGGGTTTAAAAATATCTAAAAGGTTTTCGAATGCAGGGAAATTGAATTTCAGCTGCTTTCAAGATTGCGCTCTTGATTGGTATTTTGAAAACTAAGGTGACATTTTGATATAGAAATACCAGTATATTTTATTTAACATTGGTCAATAAAAGCGTATGCACGCTAGTCCGAATGAAATTATGAGCTAGCATATGGCAGTAATTTTTAGACATAACATTTGAGGCATATGTCTTTTGGAACAGACTGCAAACCTTTGCACACATGGAATCTTGCCAAGGGTGTCACTGTATCCTAGCTTTCAAAAGCTTAGTTAGTTATATGAAGCTAATGGTTTGGAACTTGGATAAGTTCTTTATATTCAACAGCTAATGATACCCTTAAAATAGGTATGGGGTAAAGGAAAAAAAATAGAACTAGCAAATATCTGCCAAGAATATATACAGTGTTACAAAAAAGAAGAAGTGTCAGATTCATTTTACAATAATGGATATCTTTGGAAGCTAATTCATGAATATTTCCTATGTTCAATTAAATCTATACATCCCATACTTCAAGCTACAGGAAAACTCTCACACAAAAAAGAAAAAGTCATCAGGAAAGGAAGAAAACACATATTTTGAAATACTGTGTTGTCAAAACTGTAACCAATTAATCTGAATGAGAACTGAAATGGGCCATTTAGGCCACCGAGTCCAAACCCTTGGTCGGTGCTGGAATTAAACATTTCTGATAGAAATACATTTAGCTTCTAGCTGAACACATCCAGCAAAGGAGAACTGACTACTTCTCTGGATACTAGATTCCGCTAGTACCTGCTCAGTACCTGTTCTTACTATTCAATATTTTTTCTAGCATTCAATCAGAATCTGCCCTCCTATAACCTGTAGCCATGTTCAGGTTACAATGTGTCTTGACCTTTTTTTGCGCAGCATCCTTCCAGCTATTTTAAAATGTTGTCACTTCCTCAAGCCTTCTCTGCTAATTGTTAAGCATTCCCCATTGCTTCAATTTTTTCTTATAGGACTTTTTTTTTAGTCCCACAATTATCCTTTATGGTTCTTCCTGAACCTGTTTCAATTTGCTAAATTCTTCTTAAGGTGTAAAGATACCAGAGATATTTGGATAAGATACCAGACTAGAAACCAAGAGACTGTGAAGTTTAGTCCCACTTTAGGCAAAACCAATCAGGTGATCTTGGGCCGATCAATCTCTTTCAGCCCTAGTTAGCAGGCAACGGCAAACCACTTCTGAAATTTCACCAAGAAAACTGCAGAGACTTGTCCTGGTAATGACCAGAAGTTAACATTGACTTGTAAGGCACAAAATAATAGTTTAATGTGTGATGTCCAGACAGTGGTAGGATTCAAATTTTTTTACTACTGGTTCTGTGGGCGTGGCTTGGTGGGCATGGCAGGGAAAGATACTGTAAAATCTCCAGTCAGAGGTGGTATTTGCCGGTTCTCGGAACTACTCAAAATTTCCGCTACAGGTTCTCCAGAACTGGTCAGAATCTGCTGAATACCACCTCCTACTAACCTTCTCTGTCACACAAATCTATTTCAGTAGATAACATATTACGAAATGATAATTGCACACATAACTTACCATCTTCATTGAGGAACAGTTTGTTGAATCTTAATCCACTAGGTTCTTTACCAACATATCTGTGTACATAATCAGTGCCAAGATCATTAACAGCAATAGCATACTTCAAAGGCTTTACACAGGACTGAAGACAAAATGGGACTTTGGTATCTCCAATAGAATGCCTGTAAAATAAATACTATTTTATTTATTGCATTCATCACACTTTTCCTGACAAATAAAAAAAATGTATATCTTAAGGCAAAGGCTTTGGGAAAAGATTTTATTATGAACCACTACTATACAAAAGATCACCTAAGAGTCTATTTCATCTTTAATATGGTAACAAACACATTCTACCATATTAAAAATAAAGGAAACCCCCTTCGCAAATCTTGAACAGTTATTTGAGAGACTTGCAATACTCAGAGTAAACATAAGCAAATAGGTTTAGAAATAAATAAGTTATCTTCTTAATATTAAATAGCTACAAAAACTAAATGTTCAAAGAATTAATATACCTATCATATGGAAATATTTCAACATCCAAAGTATTTGGATGGTATAAACAGAAAGGCAGGGTATACATTCAGTAATAAAACAAAACAAAAAAATAAAATGTTAGTAAACAGATTAAGGAATTTGCATCATTCAATGGAAGTATGCATAGTGCAGAGAAAGAAACATTATTGGCATTATTTTTTATCATATTATCAGAAACTATGGTCATTCAATGAAGCTGAACAGTAATTTCCTTTTAGCCAATAAATGTAAAATATTTTATATATATATGATTTATTCCAGTACAGTATGAAATTTCTCTCATAAGATACAGTATTTACTTTATAAGAGAGATCAGACAATTCCATGGAGAATCTCAGTGATCACTAATTATGCTTTCAATAGTTACCAGTTATTTATTTGTTTGCTTGTTTGTTTAATTCAACTTGCACCATATCCAGAGAGGAAGTTGGCTGTTTATATTTACTAAGCATGCATGTAAATATTATATGGAGCAGCAAACATCAAACATATTTTAAATAAATTGTGTAAATAAAATCAAATATAAGCAAATGACAATTTGTATAATTAAAACCATAGAAAAAAGTGAATTTCTTTCTCCCAATTGTACGAATTATCTGTTAAAACTAAAAAGTTTGTACTATTTCAAATCTTTATAGAAACAAAGCTTTGTGGTTTCAAAATGGTTGTTCAAGAATTTGCATAATATATGTTGAATTGCACAACACTGAGCATTTATATTAGATTCATGTTAATTCCTACTTTAATTTCTCCTTTAAACATCAAATATTTGATGCCCTTTTCATTTTCAAGACCTGTTCTGATGAGCCAAGATAACATGCTTAAAGCCTGTGAATCAGGTCATATCTAAAAATGGACAAGATACATTTTAATTTCTCATAGCTCATAGAAATCTGTCACAACTCTTTATTAACAATAAAGTACTTTCTAATACTATTGTATCTTCTGTGTTTTAGAATAACATTTTCCAAAGATAATTATTTGCAGCAATCCATTTCTTGTCCAAAACTGGATTTTACCTTGTGAAAATGTAACTTTATGCTTTCTAGCCTTGGAGAAACAGGCCATGTCAATAAAATTCAGTAATATCTATAATATCACTAAATCAAGAAGGGGATCGTGGCAAAAAGTTAAAGAGTTTTGCATGACCCCCAGGAATGGATTATAAAACTCTAATTTATATTAACATTGTAACATAGCATAGGTAATTAAATTAGGATTATTCAATGCACAAAAAGCCTGCAATCAAGTTATCAACAGTGATGTTGTTTTGAGGAACAGAGGTTGTAAAAGAATCACTTCAAAAAAGGAACTCTCAACTTCTGAAACATCATCCTATTTTTTACTAAAAATTGGATTGCCCAAGGCTGAACTAAAAATGCTATCTTTTCTCTAGTACCATAAGAAATATACATCATGGATTATGCAGAACTATCTTATATTTGTAATTTAACCCCACAAAGGGTGTGTCTGCTTCTGTTTCTACAACTGAAATTATTTCACCAATTCAGATATTTAAGCTACAATACCTCTGCCCATCGACTGTGCAAACAGATACTGCCCATAAGTCAGGACTGAATTTAGCCAGTTGTGGGATATAGTCCGCAACCTACACAAAACAAGACCAATATAAAATAATTTGATTATATAGCTACAAATAATGAATACATGAAACCCAGCTAGTAAAAAGCTAGTAAAATAATAAAAGGCACAAACATCTAACCTCTCCCCCAAACTATCCCAGTTTTTTTAAACAGGATCTACCAAACAAACAAAAAATAAATTCACTATAGTTTTGTTCTTGTTCACTTTATATGAAAAATGGTAAAGTTCATAGAAACCATTTTTAAGAATTCACTCAAGGTTAGCTGCACTTTTTCTTTCATAAATATATCAATGAATAATCTGCAAATGGTCAAATCTCTGGTGTCTCTATTATCAGCCCAACTGGGTGTGCCACTCTAGGACTAGTTTTACTGTACACATCACAGTAAGCCATAATATTGTTAGATACTGGCACTGTCAATATTTGATCCCAACTAATATGTTTTATAAAGCATAATTTATATATAATTTAAAAATATTTAACATGTGAATAGTCCAAAATAGCTTTCTAAAAATGTAGCATGCTAATTCCAAACCACTCTAAATATGCATTATCAGGTGCAGAGTTATCATGCAGACAGAAGTTTGCATAATTTCTTTTCTAATCACTTTTGGAAATTGCTTGAAATCTAGCTATTAGATACTTTTGGGTCATCAGGTTTTATGCCACGGGTGAATTTCCTTCAAACCTTAGTGAAATAAGTTTTAAATACAAATTTAACGACTTATTTTATTTTTTCTACAATAAACAGCAAAAAGGGTACTTAAAATTTTGATTTGAAAATTACAAATAGACTAAGAGTCCATATAAATTTGAAATAAGATTTTGAAATTAATTATAAAGAATCCTTTTCTTGGGACACTGGTTTTATTTTGAATTCTTTAAAAAACATAGTAAGATAAGGCTTTAAAAATTGCATACCAAATGAAATTGGGAGGATTTAATTAAACAATTAAAAAACTAACTAAAGAATTAATTAGTTAAAGAATAAGAATCAAACTTGACTAATATGGAATGAAGCAAATATTTTAACTATGGACATATTGAACAATGGACCTAGAAATTAATCTTAAGAGTGTCTGCCTCGATAGTGTTTAAAAAAGCTATAGAAGAGAAACATGTATTATCTGACACAATTGAAATTGATTTGAAAGTATATTTTAAAATGATAGGCTACATGAATGACTTAAAAATGATTTTAGAAAAGAATCTAGCTGATGTCTTAATAATTAAATATTATTATGATATAAAAATAACAAACCAGAGAGTGACTGGGATAAAAAAAAGAAATCAAGATCTATGTCATTATTTGAATGGACTAAAATTGTTAGAAGTAAAATGAAAGAATAGAAAATTGATTTATTAGATCTAAACTAAAATGGATGTGTTATTATCTTAATGGACTTTTGCTAACATAAGGACTGAAATAACAAAGTTATATGGATTTGTCAATAGAGGAGGGAAGGGAAGAAGAGACAATTTATTGTATTTTAAAAGAAGTTAATAAGTTACTACCGTAGAATTGTTTACACTTGTGATGAATAGGAAAGTAATTTTTTTCTTTATTATATTCTTATTTTTTCTTTCTTTTCTATTTTTTCTTTTCTTTGTCTTCTTTTTTGCATCTTCCATTTCTTTTAATTATTTTTTAGTTTACACTAGTTTTTAATTATTGTAATTTGCAAAGTTTAATAAAATTACTACGGTATATAATAAAAATATTTTAATAAGGGTATTATACCAAATGATTAATGTAATCTGTTTTTTTTTTTCAGATGATAGCATCTTACATAAAATTATGACAGTTCTTTTATGCAAGTATAAAAATATTCTAGAGACAGAATACTTGCTGCCAGAAAAGACAGATAGAAGGGGAAAATACCATTCCCTAACTGGTTAGAATTAAAAATCCAACACATAACAAAAACTAAATTACTGTGTTAAATATTCCAATATTCTATTTGATTTGCTTTAATTATAACATGTATACATAAGGAAAACAACAAAAAAATGATTGAGGGGGGAGGGGAAATAATACCTCTGTGCTCCATTTTCTTAGATGTCCCAGATACAGGACATATGCATAGATATTTAAATTTCCAATTTAAAAAAAAAACCATGGAACTTACTTACTATATATTTTCACTTGCATATGCTACATGAAAAGAAATTGGGGAAAACAAAAATCTGTTCAATCTATGCTTATTAATATCAATTGCTGGGAAACACAAAGGAAATGTACAAGTGTACTGATACCCATTTTGTGGGACTCTCTGACAAATCACCTCTTTATAAATATATAAAATATATATAAATGGAAAATTTACCATTTTTAAAAAAATGGACATTCCAACTGTATTTTTTTTTAAAAGAAAATAGCAGTAGCCTAACTCATGGCTGGGCAACTTCTTAGCCTGCCTGCATACTACAGAAAGCTTTGGACAGATGACAACAGAATATGTTTGACCTGTTTTTCCTTTGTTTTGGGGAACTAGCAGGTTGTGAAAAATAGGGAATGTTTTATCTGACAGAAGTCTATCACTAACTTATTCAGATAGTCCTCACTTACTGAAAGTTGTGAAGTGAAATACCACATGACGGTACTGATTAACACCATCAATCCTAGATGCAGTTATTAAGTGAATCACTGTGGGTCCTTAAGCATAATGTCACTTGAACATGACTTGCAACTTCCTGCTGGCTTCCCCATTGACTTTGCTTTTGGAAGCCAGCTCTGAAGGAAGCAAATGGTGATTATGGGATATTGCATGCATTAGCTGCCAAGTGCCCGAATCACAATCACATAACCATCAGGACATTAGAATGACAACAACTCTGATAAACATTTGTAATTCTCTTTTTTCAGTACTGCCATAAATTTGAACAGAAGCTGGATGAGCATTTGGTAAGTGAAGACTATTTGTACTTAAAACCAAGGGTCCCCAACCACCGGGCCGCAGACCGGTCCCGGTCCGTGGAGCACTCTGTACCGGGCCGCAAAGAAAAAAAAATTTAAAAAATGGCGGCTTTCTTCGCCTTCCTGCTGGGATCAGGGATCAAGGACACAAATGAAAGAAGGGGAGGGAGGAAGCAACCAAAGCCTGTCCTGCTCTCCAGCTCAGCGGCTTCGGTTTCCTCCCGCCTCGTTCCTCTCTCAGTCGCTCTCTCGCTCCTCCACCAGCCCAGGAAGAAACTGCTTCAAAGGAGCCGGCAGGGTGGCTTTTCCTGTCGGCGCAGTTCCCCCGAAGCGCCCATTCACCCCCACCCCGCCGCCAATCAATCCAGGTTCAATCCAGTGATCCGTTCTGCCTGCCTGCCTGCCTTCGTTTGTTTCGGAGCAGCTTCGGCTGAGAATGATAACTATTCGCCTCTTTTTATCAGCCGAAGCTGCTCCGAAACAACCAGAAACGCAGGCAGGCAGGCAGGCAGAACGGAGCACTGGATTGAACCACGAGCGGGCGGGCGGGGTGGGGGTGAACGGGCGCTTCGGAGGAGCTGCGGCGACAGGAAAAGCCACGCCCCCCCGGCTTCTTTGAAGCAGTTTCTTCCTGGGCTGGATGTTAGAGGTCCATCGTAGCTCTGAATGATCCCTAAACAAGGACTACAGGAGCTTCCTAGGGAAAACACACTGACTAAATGCTCCTCATTCAATTCCTGTTTTCACCAAACAGAGATAAGAGAAACATCTGCATGAAATTTTGTAGCTACACAGCTGGGCAAGACCTAGAACTAGAGAGACTGCAGTCAGGTGTCTTTAATGCTAGTTGTAGGGTAAACATAAAGTTTTGGGAATGGAAAGTAGAATCTCCCCCCCCCCCCCCCCCCCCCCGCCGGTCCTTGAAAAAGTGTTTCTGCTTGAAACTGGTCCCTGGTACAAAAAAGGTTGGGGACCACTGCTTAAAACCATCCTTCAGTACCCAGATCAATGAAAATCACACAGAGAACATTCTATATCTTTCCACCAAGATTGGTGGCATGATCTCAGGATGATTCGAAGGATACAAACAACTATGAAATGCAGCTGGCCATCTCTATATTGCCACCAATTATTTTTAATAAGACACTTACCTTCCCTCCTGACTGTTTTTTAGCATTTTCATATAATTCATCAATGTGAGAGGCAAATGACATAAAGTCAGGAATGACAAATTTTCGCCTGAAAGCCTGAGTTAATAACACAATGTTGCTTTGGACACATCTGTGGGAAAAAAATATTATCACATGAGTGAAAATACCGTGTCTTTCACTGCAGAGATAATAAAAGTGCTTCTGAAATCTAAAGAATAGAATTGTATCCAAATATATTATTTACTGAAGGTAATACATCAACTACTGACATAATGGATACTTTTGGTCTCCTCTGTGCTCTTCCTCTTTCCGTGAAATCAGATGTTGGGGAATTACATATTGAAAAATATTTCTGAGAAGTGCTCATTTACATTATTTCATAGTAGCCTCATTATTCCATGCTATAACAAGCTGTAGCAAATCAATTAAGATATTTACTTTTTAAAGAGATCTTTATCTAGCATGACACCGTCTGATGTTGTCTGAAGTGTCAATCTTAACATATCCATGCATTCTTTCAGTCTCGGATCTGCTGTTCGTAAACCTGTAGATTTTAAAGCCTGTAAAATAAAAAAGGAGTTACAGATATTTCTTCTTCTGAACACTAATTCACATAACATCGGTTCTGATTCCCATCTGATCTTCTTTTCCAATAGACTGCAATAGATAGTTCACAGACATTTGTTTTCAGTGTTTTGTTTTAAAATACATATAGCTGCACTCCCTAAATGTGAGTAAAATGATAATGCAGCCTTCTTTAAAACTTAAAATTTCTGTTACACTCACTTTTAGTAATCTTCCCATAACCTGATCATTACCAAACCTGTATGTTTTCAAAAATAAAAAGATATATGGCTAATTTACTTAGCACATAATTTATTAGAAATAGGATTAAAAAAACTTACTGTGATGAACTTATGAACTGGTATTTTTTCTTGTCCTTCTGCAATAGTATAGAAGAGCAAATCTTCCAAGCTAGGCAACAAACCTCCTTTACTAAGGAGAAAACATAGATTTGGGGAGAAACCAGGTATTAGTTGGTCACGATCTTAAATCAATGCAATTCTTTAAAATATACTCCTATGAAAATCTATTCTTAATTAAATCTTACAGTAAAACCTAGTTTCATATATATACACACACAATGAAATATAAATCCTATAAAAATATTTCTGAGCAGTGCTCATTTACATTATTTCATACTAATGAAAGTTTCACATACACATAGAATGTCATTAATTATTATTATTTAAGCACTGTATTTGTTCTTCCATGGACATTTTTATTTATTTTTCCTATCAAAATAGGACACAAGTAATCGTGTATGCCAATATAACAAAACTTTACTATATAGTAAGTTTCCAATTAATACACAACAATCTTTCAATCAGTGCCTCCTTGCTAGACAACTAAAAAAATACAACTAAACAATAGCAAAGTTTTCTTCTTGGTCTCTTAATATTTCTTAATTTTTAATTTTGTGTGTATGTGAGAGAGAGGGGGGGGAGAGAGAGATATTTAGATATACTTTTAAGAAATGTGCATGTTTAAAAATGTTCAAACATTAAGGCTTAGTTCAACTTCTTAAACTAGTTTTTAAATAATTTTATAGATTATATATCATTGACATCTGTTGCAGTTAAATCAACCAGGTTAGCCCAGTATTTAGCTATGGCACTGAACTAGCTGATACAAAAAGCAAGGCAAACATTCAATTTACTTACAGAAAATACCTCAAATGGACTATTCTTAGATAAAGCTTATCAGTTTAAACTGCAGTATAAGCTTTTTCTCCCTCTACTTCACAGCTCAATAATGTTATGTAATATTTGTTTAGCCTAAGAGCAGCGTTTTAGCATCATTAAATACTTAGAAAAATACATATTCAGCATAACCAAACAGAACTAAGACAGAAAGTGGACATGGCGTTGTCACCATTATCTTTACTACATGGAAGTGAGTGTTTATTCACGGCAAAGTCTGTACTGAAAAAATAAAGAGAGAAGCTCATTTGAAGCCATAAGACACGGCAAGTCACTTTGATACAACAAAGATAATACTGGCCTTCAAACATCTATTATAAGGCCATAAACTGACTTTTAAAGAAATTATGAATCTCAGTTCTGAATGAAGTTTGTGACCTAACACATTATATTAAAACCAAGTTCCAAAATAGCAAATTTGACTTATATTAAGAAATAACATTGCTTAAACAAGTTGAGAGCATTTGAAGTATGGCATTATCTAGAAAAGAAGTAACAAGTGTGTGCCTTATGACAAGACTGCAACAGAAGACTGATTAAACTAATAATGAGATAGTAAGATCTGTAAATAAGCTGTCAAGGTTAGCCAAAAGCAAAGACTACAAAATTCTGGAACTATACAGTATGCACATTTGGAAAAGACTCTGATGTTGGGAAAGATTGATGGCAAAAGGAGAAGGGGATAGCTGAGGATGAAATGGTTAGATAGTGTCATTGCTACAGTGAACATGAACTTGGGCAAACTCCAAGAGACAGCGGAGGACAAAGTCTCGGATACTATGGTCTATTGGGCCGCAAAGAGTCAAATACAACTTAGCAACTGAACAACATGCACACTGAGTGCTTTTAGACAATTGCATTGGCTCATAAATACATTGGGGATTCTAAGGAGATATCGGGCTCAAAATGCTACATAGGAAAGTAACCGTATTAATGTTTTAATAAAGTACACATCAAATCAAATATTATTACAGTTATAGACCAGCATATACACTGCAATTAATGTCTTTTCTCACTGTATACGCCTCTCCCTTCCCATCTTCTCTGGTTTTACTAATGACAGCAACAACTGAGTAACTTTAACTTCTCTTACTTTGTTTCCTCCATTCCATGTTACTCTTACCCACATTTCTATAATATTTCTGCAAAAACAAATGAAAATGCACTCATTCTCTTTTCCCCTTGTCATTATGGAGGACAAAGGCAAGAAACAAAGTAGCAAACCTTAGTGTGGAATAACACAAATGTTCTTTTATCTTTTTTCACTTTTCTTACTGCTACAATTGTTACCCACTTCCAGTTGCCTACTGGACAAAGTAAAAAAATAAAAATCAATATAGCATTATGGGAAATAGAAAAAGAATGTTGCAGTGGATGCATATAAAAGCACATATCCACAGAGGTGTGATAGCTGCATGATGATAATGAAAGAACAACAGCAAAGTTTTAGAAAAATATGCAACTTTCTGAATACATTCAATTTGGAGAGGAAAAAATGACATTAGGTGACATAGAAGGATGGGTTTGGATGAGACAAAAGGATGAAATGAATGAAAACTCAATGAAGCCAATTGGAAACTCCCAAGTATTATTAGCATGGGGGTTATAAAATATGTTGCAACAGTCCTGGGAATGGCTGGTGACCTGAAGACAGTCCCATTGGCTTGTTAACATCCTAGCCTTTGAATTTTTAACCTGATTTAAATTTACTTCTAAGTTTTAACTTGTTTTTAATTCTGTTTTAAGATATGCTTTTATTTATGTATTTATATTAGTTTTATTGTGCTGTTATAAATCACCCAGAGGGACTTCGGTGAGGTGGGTAGTGTAGAAATTTAATAAATAAATAAATGTCACTGTTTATGATAAAAGAACTGAAAGGATTAGTGAATTACAGAAATAAGTTTGTAATGTGGGATAGATGATTATTTAGGAAAAAGTGTATTTTTTCAGAAAAAATGAAAAATACAAAAGAAAAAAAATGTATTGGAAGATGAATTCAATTTTTTATAGAACAAGTAGAAACAGGATGCAATGAATATATAAAAATAACTGGACCAACATAAAAATAATTAAATGAAGGGAGCCACTTAAGTGGGTGGAATTACATTAATGAAAAATATGTAAATGGATACTTGGTAGACTGACAAACTGCAAGAAATGATTGTTAAGAAACAAAATGCATACAAAAGAATGATTACTGCAAAAATGTGGTGGGCTTTCATTATAAAATTAATTATTTGAGATGAAACTAAAATGAAGGAATACTAAAAGGATTACTGTAGAAATTTTTATTGGAATTGTAATGATTCGTCAAATAATGCAATTGAAAGAACCCTGAATCATATTCAATACTAAAGAACATGCAAACATAGAAGCCAATTTTTTTTTCTTTCGCTAATTTAGCATTTTTAATGCAATCTCCCTTCCTGATCCCACCTGATGGTAAGCAAGTAGGGTTGCTGGTGGTGGTATTATATTTAAACTTTAGAATAATGTTTATGGGAATATTTTAGCTGTTTACTGTATCTATGTACAATTTCATGCAAAATACTTGCAGTAAACATGCTGAATAAATTTCTAGCACCATAAAAAATTGCTGGTGCATATGGAAATGGGATAAATTAGAATTATGTTGTATAAAATAATGTTTTATCTGCCTTGTAAAAATTTATAATGGAAAGAGGTTTTATGTTTTCAATGTTTAATGATGTTTTGTTTGTCTTTAAAATTAATAAAATTTGTCTCAAAAAAAAATTGCTAGATTGCAAAATTTATGACATAGCTTATTCTAATGTAAATGTCAATCCAGGCAAATTCTGAAACTTGCTAAAGTGAAACCACAATCCAACAGATCATTTGAAAGAAAGGGACAGCTGTTCAAGCAATATGTTCATTAAATCTAGAGATGGAAATATGACAGGAAAATATGTGTGATTGTGAAGAAGAAGAAGAAAGACACTTTTTTTTCATTGTTACTTGAGTCAAATGAAATAAATGGAAGGTATCAGACTTTAGCCTTTATAAAACGGCATGGAGATAGCAGAACATGTGAACAAAGACAACACTAAAGGACAATTCAGAATCTTTTTCCTCTCTCCCATCTCTGCCTTCAGGAGGAAGAAGATGATCAGTAGCACAGGGTTACATAGAAGAAAAAAACGTGAATGCACAGACAGAACCATGCATTGCAAATGTGATCCATTGTATATAAAGTCCATTAAATTGGGCCTTTGTGCATACAAAAGTGTGATAAAACAAAAATGGAAGTGTAAAAGGATCTTTTCTAGAGAACTTGTGAATGAGAGATCCACAAACCACAGCAAAGATTATTCTTATATGCATGCTGCCACTGTGGAATATAATAGAACCAACAGTAAAGGATACAGTAGAAAGTAGGCACAACAATTACATCTATATTGATATGGAAAAGGAAACTAGGGAGCTGACCGACATTGAAAAGCTTCTACCGGTACTATTAAATTCTATTGAAATTTGTCAGTTTCTAAAAGTGTACTTTTTCAAAAAAAATAGTATCAATATATGGATATATTAAACTGGAAAATTTCAAAATTCATTTCCCCCCCAAAATCATTGTAATAGAAATATCTGTACATCTAAAACACAATTCTTGACGAATGCATTTTAAATGCAAATAAGATGCTCTCAGGGAAAAGGAAAATACAGCAAACTAGTTATCAGTCAGCCGTCATCTAAACCAGCAGTCTAACCTTTGCAGCTTGGCACACTGGTGTGAGGAAGAGAGGAACAGGTACGTGTGAGCAGCAGGCCGGCACGCGCATGGATGCACTTGGGCCAGCACATACACACATGCAGTTCAACTCACACGAACACCGGACTGGCCCGCACACACATGCAGTTCAATTTGCGCAAGTTCAGCTGTGTGTGCGTGTGCACACACACCAGCCTGCCATTCATGCAAGTTGAGTTGCACATATGCATGCTGGCACGCTGCTCGTGCAGCCCGATTGCGACTAGGCCACGGCCTGGTAGTGGGCTGTGGCCTGGGGATCCCTAATCCAAACAGTATTTGGGAAGACTCTAGAGCAAATCATAATCAATAGAGCATATAAATAAATAAAAGGAGTCATCATGAATCTTATCTGACAAATCTTGTTTCAATGTTTGACTAGCTAATTTTCTTAACACGTGAATAATGTACTATAGAGTAGTATATCTGGACTTCAATAAAAATGCCATTTATGTATTTGT